CAGTCAATACCTGGCTACTGACTGTCAAAAGGGACAAACACTATACCAGTTCAGGAGAGAAAGAAAGCTAACATTCTCTTGGAAGGTTGAAAAATAAGCAGAAACCCCATTGTTAGGATGTTAGAGAGACACGCTGTGAAAAAAGATGAGCAAAAACTGAGACACAGTGCAGGGACCTGAACAGGTACCTGAGAATGTTATCATGTTGAGAATACCAAGGACAGTCTCATTCAATAGAAACATATAGTGGGTGAAAAGCAAGTGCTTGGATCACTTACTGAGACTGTTCAGAGTGAGAGTAACCACTAAATGAATAGCTACTGGTACCAGATGTGAATTAAAGGTACTTTGGGAAAAACTATGGAAATAACTGTATTCTTGCTATACAAATCATCTAAAAATCTCCTTTCTTAATCTAGAACTCACTGTGAGAGTCAATGGTAACTTCTAATTCAGTATGCAAATACTGTAGTACAAACATATTAAATAGCTTTATACACTAAATAATTCTGGAAAAGAATGTATAATACTATCTTCAAAAATGGTGATCATTTTATACATTCTTATAAGTAAATACAAGTCAAGACTCAAACGTATTCAGAATTTTGATTCAATAATGCCATTTTAAAGTGAGTATCCATAAATAATGAACTTGTGGGGGTATTCAGGCACAAATATTCTCACTTGAATGTTGGTTGCAATAATAAACATATGGGAAGGTTGAGGATTCACAACTTCCCTACCCCCTGCTCAAAAAAGATAATAATGATTAGATAAGCAAATATCAAGAAGTTCTTAGCCTATGTTTTAGGTCATTGTTAAAGTAGTATTTATGCATTTTGCCATAACGTAAGCAAAGTTTCTGTACTAATCAAAAGCGGGCTCCAATTTTCTCCAGAGGAAACTGTTCTACAAGAATTCTATTTGGGCTTCAGAAATAAATTTAACAGAATTACTAGTGTTCCTATATATTTCTGCCTTTATACCTTTTTCCTTGCCAGCCCCCTTCTAGTCTCAGTTGTGTTTTAAGTCATATCTCATTTTACTGCATTTCATACACTGGGGGTTTAAAGAACAAAAACATTCTCATGTTAGTCTTCTAGAATTGCATTTCAGTTATCCTACGAAGATAATCTTCTGTCTTATGTATTATGAAGGTTCACCAGGTTCAGACAATTGCAAATGTCTTACTTGTTTAAGAGAAGAAGTAAGATGTGAGGATTATGTATGTCTTTTCTGCAGCCAAATTCCCTTAGCTCAAGTCATAGCTCTAGCATTTACAAATTGGATAACACTGAGAAAGTTCTGCAACCTGTCTGGACCTCAAAGTCCTCACCTGTAAAATGGAAATAACAGTGTAATCCACTTCTCTATCTTATACTGCATTATCAATCTATCTACCTGTATCTTCTATCTACCAAGATTTCACAATCAAAACTTACTCTTCAGAATATTAATTTAGATTCCTAGTAAGATAGAGATGATACACCATGCCCATAATATACCTCAAGTAGAAATTTAGCTTCAACTATAAAACCTTCTAAATGCATACACAAAACCAATATCCATCATATCAATTGCACTTGTCCTTTTGGTGCTAATTGTAAGCTGAGAGCCAAAGTTGGGTCTGAAATATAAAAAAAATTTATCCTTAGTTATTCATCTGGATAATAATATAAAGTTTAAAAGAGAAAATCTCTAACGTTAGCAGCTTATGCACAGGGTATAAACGCTATCCAATGGCAGTTTATAAATGATAGGCGTAAGCCTCCCTACTCCAGTCTTCTTCTACAGAGGTGGCTTTGAACAACATATGTTTTGGAATGTTATATCTTGCATATGCAAGTTTTTCTTGTCTCAATAGACAAAGAGGAAAGAAAATCTAGGTGGAGTGAAGCTGTCTGTACATTCAACAACAACCCACTGTGTCGAAGGAATCTAGGATTCCTGTTTTCCTATTCCTTAGAAAGTTCACTGTTGTCCTGCATCAGAGCCAGACTCTCATGTGTAAACACTAGACAGAGAGAACCTAATCCTAGGAGTCTTAAAACAGTTCCATCATCCTACTTTGGTAGAAACAACCAACCATGACCAAAAAAATCCTGAAATTTAAAAACCAGCAAAGCACTCAATAAATTATAATTTTTAATAATTTTTGAGACAAGATGCTGCTATGTAGCCCAGCCTACTCTTGAACTGACAGAACCCTCCTGTCTCAGTTTCCCAAATGCTAAGATTATAGCCATGGGCCACTTATTTTGGTACCATTTTTAACACAATTGTTAAAAAGAGTTGGTGCTTATTTTTTGCCTATGGGTGCTTGCTTCAATAAATCACCTCCCTAAACACCAAGAATTCTGCCATTGCTACAACAGCAAGATGGTGAGGTCTTTTGCTTTTGTTTTTACCTGATGTTGCTGGGTGTCACCCCCTCTTCACGACTCCCGCTGCTGATGGCTCGTGTGTGGGGCATAAGCTAGTTAAAGTCATGAAAGCATCTACTGAGTCACTAAGTTTACAAAGTGACTCAAAACAATAGCCCTCATCCAAACAAGAGGGGAGTGGGATTATTAAGGGAAAGACAGATTGTGGAACTGCACAAACATCCAAGATATGCCTGCCAAGCAGCACTGATACTCAAGCGCATTCCATTTGTTCTGGCCTGGTGTCCAGAGTGAAGATGGACATAAAGTGAAAGAAAGGAGAATGGGAAAGCATTAAATAAATGAAAGAATGATGTTTTTAAAGACTTTATACGTGGAGTCTCTTGTCCACCAACCTTGACAATGTTCTTTTAAATATCAGCATTTCATGTTCATTGGTTTTCAAAATCATACTTCTGTTAAGAGAAATCTTCTATATTTAGCTGATGGATGGAGTAAATTAAAGAAGCACAGAAACCATGAAGATGAACTGCTCAAAAAAAAATCACTACTTACTTTTGGAGAAAGTAAGCAGAAAAGTCTTCAGCATCACAGGAAAATTATAATACAACTGAGTTGAAATTTAGGTCACTTTCACTTAGTTCTTCATCAGGGTTTTTTTGTCTCTCTGCTAGCTGGATATTCTTTATTTCAGCCTTATGCACTTCTTACAAAACACTGAAATAATCTTTTTATAGTCTTTTGTATATACTATAATACATTGATAAAGTACATTATTCTTAGCTATTTGGAGATGATATTTCTGCAAAGAAATTTAAAATACATAGGCTGCCATTTGTTGGGAATTTTAGATGTGATTTTACCCTTAGATGAGTCCATAAGAATTCATGAGTTTTTCTCCTTTGATCTTTCAAAGAACAAAAGACAGATCTGAAGACAAAAAATATGTACCTATTCAAGCATAGTAAATAATATTTAAATACCATGTTTTCATTCAAGTTTTCTCTTTAATGTTCCAAATTTTTAATTGAATTTTTTGGGGAGCACTGAGAATAGAGCTCAGGATCTCATGCTTGCCACACAAGCATTGTGCAGTTGAGCTATATCCTTGGTTAACTGAAAAATTTTAAATAAGATATTTTTTATATATCCAGATCATGTTTTGTTTTCCTAAGCAACTAACACCAATAACAACATCTCATTCTGTGTAGTATGTCTTCTCTGATCTGATGAAACCCCTCTAACATCGTTGGTAAATGCTATCTTCCAAGGCATACTAGAGGCCATAAATGACCAAGAGATCTTCAAACAAAGAACTTTTTCATTCTTGGACAGAATTTGATCCTAGCTCAGCCAGCCTGTACAGTTCCCCTACTGAATTCTTGAGTGCCAGCTAGCACCAGGGGAACTGAGAAAAGCTTGTCAGATTGGCCAGTGAGAACTAATCTTACCAGGACCTGCAGAATTGCTCTGAACCTTGGCTTGGCTTTTATAACTTTCTGGAAAATCCTTGTCCCCATCCTCTTCTTTCTAAACCAATTTCAAATTTTATGTTATCCATGAAATCTCCTGTAATTAAAGGTAACACCTTCTGTTATGTTTTTTCTCATTGATACTCACAATGTGCCAATGAATCTGGCACATCCTTCTCTAAGTAGCAACCTTCTTGTACTTCATCATGTGCTTTTCTTCAGTGACTCAATTAGACTATAAAGTTATGGGCATCAGGGCTCAAATTTTTCAGGTATTTTCCACTTGTTATTTTCATATACTCAAGCCTGCCTCACTCTCTCCTTTCTCACAACTCCTCAGATCTGTCCCTTCCCTGTAGACTGAAACTTTCTGCGCAAGACCCTTATCTCTTATTCCTCCATTAATTCTTTTGGTCTTAGTATCCTTCACCTTTTGCCTCCTGCCACATCCCCACTGCCTGATCAGGCCAAGTCTTACGTCTAAAAAGGGAGCCATCAGACTTTACCACTATGTTCAGGTTCTGCTGCTTTCCATCCCACAGTAAGACTGCATCATGTGTCCTAATGGGTAGACCCTTGTGACCTTATCTGGACAGTGGACTGTGGGCAGAAGTAACATTTGCCACTGTTTGGTTGAAGCTCTTAAACGTTAGCGGACACTTCCCTGGGTGTTCTTCTCGCTGACGTGGCAAGAGTACAAATGGTGGGACCTCTGTCATCAATGTAGCAATGTAGACCCCCTGCTGTGGTGTGATGGGTGTGTGGTATAGCTATGTCACAGCTACTTGTCACACCACTGAGATTCTATTTATTACAGAAGCATAACTTAACCCAGCAAGAGAGCATAATTGACTTTATAATTCTCTCCATAACATCATTTTACTTCTGGATCAATGTGTATCCAAGTGTATTGACATTACCTCATCTCCTGTCTGTCTGCAGCTGTGCATAAACTCCACAGGTATGTGGCTGTTCCTGTGCCCATGCTGCCTCCCACAGTGCTTGGCATACCATTTTCCTTCAAAAACCACACACCCAATGAATGAACAAACGAAGCCCATCCTATGGTGAATGCATCTTGGTATGACCACTGGCATTCTTGGAGTTCAGCCCAACCCACTGTGGTAGCTATGGATCCACTCACAGTTATGACAGGTGGCACCAGTGTAACCTGTGTCACTGCAGTTGCAATAGAAGGTCGTCCAGGACTGGGAGCATCTTCCTTCATGCTCACAATAGTTTGGCAAACACCTAATCAGAGAAAAGGCAAAGCAAAATAAACCAAATCAGTTGAACTAAAGAGAAACGTAAAAGTATCTTATAGCCAATTGAAAGAACTAATAGTAGAAACTGATTTGCTCTATTTCTCTGCATAACTCAGACTTGCACAAAATGAAAATGATGTGCTGTGATTCAACCAGAAGAGGTGGGTCGTCCTGGCACCACCAAGTCATGCAGGCTTCAAAGCCTAACAAGGCACCTGAGTTAAGGACTGAAGCACTGTGGCAACTGAATGTGGAAACTAAAGTTAAAAGAAAGAGGTCAGAATCCACAAGTCAGAGAAATACATACAGATCATAGTTTTATATTTTTGAAAATGTTTGACTATTTCATGGAAAGGGGGAACAGGTAAATAATGAAGCAACTTCCTACACGGTTATTTCTGGGAAATGAGGAAATTAATCAACCACATAACCTGAATTTAACAAGATGATGGTGCCTCTCTCTCCACAGAAGGGAGCTCTTCCAATTTTTAGAAGTATTGCTGGAGGGGGCAGTACAGCTTTGTGACTCCAGCTATGTGAGAGGCTGAGGAGGACCTCAATTTCCAGGCTAGTTCGGACAATTTAAGGAGACAAAGTCATAGAGTAAGATATGATATGTGCTGATAATGTGGTAGAAAATTTGTTTCACTTGTACAAGACCTTGCTTTCAGTCTTCAGTAAGGGGGAAAAAAAGTGCCAACACCTTCCTTAAAAGATGGCCTTTTTGATATGGCTATTCCAAAAAATATTTTCACAACTATATTTAAGTTCTTTGAAAATTTGTGTAATTTGAGTCAGCAATCAATCTTAGTTGGTGTTATTTTAAGCATATTGTTCAAAATATGAAAATTACATGTACTATTAACTGGTAAGCGCACAGCATTAGAATATTACATAGAAAACCTATTATTACAAAATTAATGAACTACAATAAAACTGATACATATAGTGTGTATAAACATCATGATAAAAGATTGGGACAAGATTAGGTGAAAATTCAAGATAGAAGTATGACCACAAAATGGAAAACAACACTGGTAATTAAGGAAAGGTTTATCTCTTCTCAGTAAGTCGTGGACTTTACAGATCTACATCCAGCTCAAACCCTGGCTCAGCAGCTCACTGCATGGCAGTTTGTACCTAGCAACGCCTGAGTTAACACTGCTACAGTAATTCCCCTAACAAGTAACCTGGGGCAAGTGCTTAACAACTGTGATGAGCAACATTAAGGTAAAAGCAATGCTAAACCTGGAACTTTTGAAAGCAATCTTCACATAAGTCTGAAAGTGCAAAGGGAAAATATTCACAAATTTGAATAAGTAGAGTGTGCAAATAATGAAGTTACAAAGGTGTAAAACACAATAAATGGGTTCATTGTGAAGTCACTGAGAATCTGAGGCCAGCAAAACTAAAACGATTTACTCTAAATGTCCTCCATAGGTAGGAAACCCTCTAGCAATGATTGCCTCAAATTCCAGAAGTAATATTCCTGCATACGTTCAGACTTATTACCTGAAATTTTCTGCTCAGCACAGCAAACATACAATTGTGCTGAGAGGGCTTGCATTTGGAGAAAGCACGCTGATAGCTTCATAGTCCCTAACTGGTTTAAACCAACAGGGAGATAAAAAAAAAAGGGACCTAAGACCTTGGGTGGGGATGTGCTCACTAAAACCAACTAAACAAGCAAGAGAAGAAAAAATGGTCTTGTCTTTTCTCAAAATCTTGCACCTCTCAATTGTTATCAACTCTTCTCAGGGTTTTGGTGGAGAGAAAAGGAAGCAGGTTTGTCACTAGATAGGTCTGCAGTCCTTGTGTCCCATAAACTCTGTGCTACAGGAGAAACTACAACCTGGACCATCAGTGTGCTTATCAATGAAATTCACCTAAGACGCTCTCTCTCTGTACATGCTTTGCAGGAATCTTACAGAGCTAGCACAGTTCTAAATGTCCATCTGCACCCATTTCATTTGCATCATGACATTGCCTTGATTCTGAATAACATTTACTCAGCACTTGACCTTTCACATTATTCCTTTTCCTTTAAGGCTGCCAGATTCTTCTGTAGCCTTTCTACACTACTGGTCATCCCATCCTACCTCTCCAAACACACACAAAGATTCTATTATTAGGAATAATTTCCACCACTCCTCTAGCTACAAAAAGTTTATTGCTTTAAGAATAGAAAGCTAAACAAAAGAAGAAATATGTTATTTTGTAGTTCTTTGAAATTTGGCTCTAGGAAAATTCTTTCTGTTGGCTGATATTAAAAAATAAAAGTTTCCATTGGCCATGTTTTTAGCTACAAGAACATTTTTTCTCAAAAAGATAGGAAGAAAATTACTGATTGCTGCTCATGGTAACAAAAGTAAAAAAGTAAAAAACAAAAGTAAAAGGCAATGTTTGCATGTTCTGTCTCTGTTGCAGTCAAGATCTGGTCGCAGTCCTACATCTCCCGAGGGCTAGTTATTTTTGCCTTTAATGGATTCTATGAAATGAACCAAGAATTTTCTAGAAAAATCCTCATTTCAGTCAGTCTGGCTAAAATTGTGACTTTGCTACATTCCACTAATAGAACTTTAACTTTTTGTAAGACATCATCTTATTACGAAAGAAATGAAACCATACTTTTCTCCTGTAGTATGCACAATAAAATATGTTAAAGCACAAGATTCCCAAGTCTGTGTGTGAACCTGAAGAAGGAAGATCTAAGAAGAATCCATCAGAAAGGTTAGGCACCATGAGCATATATTAAACAAGCCTCAGAGAGACTTATGTCACAGTCAACAGATTCAAGCTACCACTGAAAGTCTAGCCTAAAATTTCATTTGTTTATGGTCACTGTAAGATCCAATGGTATAATTCTAGAAAGGGAAAGGAGTACATGGGTAAGGGATAATCTAATATTCCAGATGGGAAAGAAATACATGAGTGCGGGCAATATTGCTTGGAGCTTGGTTCATTTGGCTCAAGGCACACCATGATTAGAAAAACTCATCTGTACAGTAGATATTCAAAGTAAAAGCTATGTAGGCCCAATTTTTTCACTTGAACAGGTCAATTTTACAATTATAATTTCCAGGGAGTTTCATCAGTTCATTTTAACTGTTTTTGTTTCTTTTTTCTCTCTATGTGACACAAACTGTGCACTTAAAAATGAATCCACAGAGGCAAGTGCATAAAGCTCCTAAAGGGAAAGAGAGCACTAAAGAGGAGGACAGCCTCCATCTGAACACATAAGGCCATTAATACCAAGTGCCAGGAATGGAGCACCCATCCTCTGCAATCCTAATGCAGATGCAGCTGGCTCTGGATAGATGTGGCTTCCTTTAGTACACAGTGCTGCAGGTGAATGTAACAGCTTTCTTCACGCAACCCAAGAGCCCAGAGAAGTCAGCACAGTGATCTGTTCAGCAAGCACTTGGGGAACATTGCACACACACTGCCAGCAGTTTTGACTCTGAAAAAGCAATGGACATGGCCTTAAGGGAGACAAAAAGAAGGGTTGAAAAAAAAAGGCAGATAAAAGGTAGAAATGGGACGAGAAAAGAAATGCTGAAAAGAAGGACAGAAGTTGCTGTTATGTATTCACAATTTTCCTTCAAATTCAGGCCTCTTCCAAAGGAAAAGGATCATTATTATTATACGGCCTTGTGGACAAAGCAAGCAATAGAAGAAGTTGGAAGATCTATGCAGATATGGAGGAGATAGACAATATCCTGCTTCAAAAACAGCAAGGGATTATTATTAATTGATCCACTTGGAAAACCATAAGCAGGAGTTTCTGAGAACAGAAACCAAAGCCTAGCTCCAAGAATCCTTGGAAGCCACTTGAAGCAGAGCAGATTGCTTTTCCACTGGCATTAAGGGGAACTGAAGGACAACACACCTTCTCAGAGAAGGATCAGGTACTTGTTTATAAACTTAGCTTTCGCTAGCACTGAGCATAAGTTCCAGCTGGAGTGTGTGAGGCTTGGGAAAAATGTTATGAAAGCAATGGGATTCAAGTTAATTCACAGAAATGCATTCTGTTGCTTTTAATTTGGAAAATTCAACAGCAGAGGTATATTCTCTTAAATAAAAATAAAAAATCAGACTATTAAGTAAAGCAAGTTTCATGACTATACACATGTAACTTCCAAATATACATTTTGAGTTCAATGCTTCCTCTTCAATTCCAGACTCATATTTCAGCTGCATAATGCATAGGTCCACTTGTGTGTCCAACATCTGTGCATTGAAACCTGGCTTTCCCGTCTCTTAACTTCCTATGGCTGCGACCTTTCATTTGCTAGCTACACTATCCTTGCCAGTGTCCACACTCCAACCTCCAAGGTCTTCCTCCTCTCTCACAGCCACAAAAGAGTGAGCAAATACTGCCCTGAATATGACCATCTCTCCCTACCTTTGCTGTCTGTGAGGAGCCACCAATATCTTTCTTGAACAGTGAAATTATCAGCCATCTGGTCTTACAACTTCCACCGTTGAGTCTTTTATTCAGCCCTTACTCAAAAGTAAGAGAGTATCTTCACTCTGAAGAAAATCCCATCAAGAATTTCTGCAATGGCTCTCTGCAATGGCCGTACTTTTTCAAAAGGCAAAAGTGACTAAGAAATAAGGGAAGAGGTCCTATATGAATTCCTCTCATTGAAAATAATCATTAAGCACTGAAAACATGTAGTAACAAAAATCTTAAAAAGCAACAACCTTCCAGACTGCATTAAACTCTCTAAACTCATCCTTGTTCTTCTCACTTTCTACATCTGCTCCTACCATGTTGACCGCTTTAGTCTTGCCCAAAACCTGTGAGAGATGTTTCTTGGTAAGGGATTTTATATTCCTATTTCTTCTGCCCCCAAATCTTTCATTCTCTATCTCCTTCTTGTCTCTGTTCAGATGTTACCTTTTTAGGGAACCCTCCATGATCATACTGCTTAAACTTGCAGCCCATCATAAATGGGCACTGCCAATCCCCTTTCCCTATTC